GTACCATACTATCAACTATGAACACGACGATGTAAGACGTCGAATAGTAATGACATTTGGCACCCGTAGACCTGCAGGTCCCACTTTAGCTAGCAGCAAGGTGTACGATAGTCAATCCAATATAGATCTATATGCAAACTCACGCTCTCCGTCTAGGAGATTCTGGTTACAACCCGGGCCATGACAATGAAGGCATGCTCTGATGCAGTGGATCACATTTATGTTATAGTATACTTGTATATGTAATGTATGTACTCGTGTAATGAATGTATTATTTCTCATCATAGTATCGTTGTATAGGTTCTCATCATAGTATAGTTGTATAAGTTCTCATCATAGTATAGTGGTATAAGTTCTCATCATAGTATAGTTGTATAAGTTCTCGTCATAGTATAGTTGTATAAGTTCTCATCATAGTATAGTTGTATAAGTTCTCATGATAGTATAGTAGTATAGGTTCTTGTCATAGTATAATAAGTAATGACTCATGAATGAACTGACTCTTTGTATGCTTCATTAGACTAGAAGTAGTAAGTAGTATAACCCTAAACTATACCTATTATACTTTACTAGTAGACTTGTTTGTGTGAATGAATGTACTGAACTGAGACAAAAGTCTTTATATCTATACATATATACATAATATATAACTAAGGAATCAACGACACTCGGACAAACAACTGGGTACTTTAAGTCCACAACCAAGCGAGGAACATGAAGTAAAGCGGGTTACCTCTCCTAAGTCCTCCAAACCTTATTTATACAACTATATATGTAGTAGACATGGTTTTAACAATATATAAGTTTGAAAACTTTAAAAGAAAGGTTAGAATACAAAAGTGAATTTGATAAAGAGTTTGACATGTAAAATAGTTTGACAATCAGTTTGAAGTCATTTGTTTGGTAAAACAGTTTAAAGTATAAAAAATCCATTTGTATGCTAGTTATAATCACATGTGGTTGATCTAATAATTAACATGGTTCAACTTGTATTTCCACCATAAAGCCTTTAAAAACATTTCAAAGGTTAATTAAGGAGTATGACCTCACCTGTAGTGAGTGATGTGACGGTAGGATCGGTTTAGGAGGTTGAGTGCCAATCATGGACTTGAGCACAAACGAATCCTATTAACCAGATAATGATATATGTATGTATACAATTAGTGTTTCTAACAACTAGTTATTGAATTGGGACAACCTTAGGGACTAGTATACACTTATTTTGAAGTGTTACAATCATATATGATCGTATATAAGGGGTGTATGGTTATACAAGCGAGTGTACGGTCAAAATACACCATATTGGTGTGTGTGCGGCCAGGGTGTGTGTGGGGCCGCACACTCCCCATAAAGTGTGTAAAAACGTATTTTTGAGGTCTTAGAACTCATTTAGGATGGTTTTTCACTTCATGTTCTAGCCACATATGGAGTTTGTTGCTATTTTAGGGCCATAGAGGGGTGTGTATGGTTGCAAAAGATGTGTGCGGCTGTACACTTGGTGTGTGCAGCCATACACACTTGAAAATATGAGAAATGATGTTTTTCAGGTATATCTTCAAGTGTTTTTGGCCTAAAACAAGTTATAACAAGTATATACATGTTATAGAGGCTAGAAAAGGGTGATTTAGGGTCCAAAACTTAGTGTGTATTCTTGGTGTTCTTGAAGGTCTAACACCAAAAACATGATTTCGTGGATCAAATTAGGGAAGAAGGCTAGTTAAGTTCAAGTATCAACAAATCAAAGGAAGTATTACTTACTTTTATGAAGAACAAGACGTAGATGTGGATGAAACTTGAGAGAAAACATGTTCTAGCTTTGAAGGAGTGGGAAAGGGGTTCAAAAATGACTAAGACTGACTTATATAGGTAGGAGTGTGTGGATAAGGGGTGTGCGGTTGGCTGGCCGCACACACCTTGCTTGGTGTGTTTGGCCCGTTTTTGCGATGCTACACGCATTCTAACCCTTCCTAAGACTCATATATTGATTATACTAAGCCTATAGACCCAAAACTACATTGTAAAATAGCAAAACGAGACAAAATTTGATAAGATGAAGGATGTAAAAGTTAGAAAGTTTGGGTTGTCACACTGATGATGAAGCAATAGCATTTTATTCAAACAATCGTGTCAAAAAGTTCTTCAAAAACCCATTCAATTCGAAGATCAAATCAACTGAGATAAAAGGAAATTTTGTGAATAAAACTACAAGTGATGTGAAAAAGAAGGACGAGAAGAAGGATACGAAGCTTGTTGAGGGAAAGATTGAGAAGAAGTTGAAGGGATATGCTGGAGTAGACTATCACTACTGTAACGGTGCCAATCATTTAGCCAATGATTGCATGTTGAGGAAGAAAGATGAGAAGAAGAATAAGATAAAAGATGAAGCTTATTATGATGAAAGACTGGAAGAGGTTCGTGCGAAGATGAAAAACTTGTCATTGGTTTCCATAGGAGAACAAGATGATAATGGAACTTAGCAAGCCTAGTCATCTGGATCAGATGATGAGGAGATGCGAAATCCAACACATGAAGCAATGTTTGCGAAGATGGAAGAGGAATCTGATGAGGAAGCATACGAAGTAAAAGGAAGATGCTTCGTATAAAAGGCTGCAACCAAATCTCCAATGACAACAAAGGTACGTAGCATTCTTGAATCTTTTAATATTCCAGTACATGCTTATAATTCTATAATTCTAAATTGTTATCTTTTGATGAAACTGTTACTTATTTTGATTCAGTTGTGGTGTCTGCTAGGAATGAGGCTAAGAAGCTTTCTATGCAGTTGTTAGAGACAGAGAAGAAGTTAGATTTGAAAAACATGAAAGTAGATTGTTTAGAACTTCAGATTACAAACATTATGGTTGATAGGGATAATTTGTCGAGTGAAATAAAATTGTTGTTAGCACAAGGAAACATTTACTGTAATTTAGCTAAGAGATTGTATGGGAAATTAACAGAGTTACATCATTCTTGTGAGATAAGTAAAGAATAACATAGAAAGTTATTGCCTTTTTTTAGCTTACGAAAGAGCTAAGGTAGATAATATTTCGTATCATTGTGAGAAAGAAATAGTTGAATTTGACAAAGTTCCTGATGATCGATATAGATATGGAATAGTCAAAGTAGATGAATGTCTTGATGCTACTGAATTAGTTAAAATTGTAAATGATACTTTGACTAAGTCTGAACAAATTCACATTTTGAAAAAGTCTGAAACTTCAACATCTGAGGCTCAATTTAATTTTGTTGATATTGAAGATAATTCTAACAATATCAGTGAAATTAGTGATCTTGAGTATGTTGACTGTTCTCAGTTGTCTATTATTAATATTGCATCTTCATCTAAAGGGAAAGAAAAGGTTAATGATTTTTTGGTTAAGAATGATAGTAATCAACCCTTAACTTCGGAGGTTTGTGATTTGGACTTTGTGGAAATTAGAGACAGTCAAATAGATGACAGTGATGAAGAAAAACATGAGAAACATTCAAAGGAAAAGGTATTTCAAAAGGATGAAGAAATTCCTCGAATTGTAGTTGACCAGGTGTATGGTGATACACAAAAGTATGAAAAAGTTTTGAAAGAACAAGGTGCTCATTACCTTGAAACAAATACTGTGGTGTATCCAATTTCAAGTGTACAGATGATATTGTGTTTCCAAATTAAGTGTTTGTAACAACTGGCAATGTTGAAAATGTCAAACCAGAATTCAAGAAATTGGTGGAACAAGACAATTTGAAAACATCAGATGAAGGGTTCTTCGCAAATCACAGCACAGTTGAAAACAACCTAACGAAGAATTCATATGTTTTCCAAAGACAAAAATCTCAAAGAAAATGGGTTGAAAAATCAAAACTTGAGAAAGAAGTCACCAAACCAATTTTTGAGGAAACAAAAAGTGGGGTCAAAATAAATTCGAGAGAATTTAAAGAATAAATTGAAAAATTTTCGAAAGAAAATAACATTTCAAAAAGACAAGCAAGAAAGAAAATATTTTGGCAAAGAATCGAGTCTCGAAAAACATCAACTGAATTGTCGAAACCAGTTAAGTCTGTGAATTCAGACAATTATTTAGACAAAAAGAAAAATCCTACTCATTCAAGCTTAAATGTGTCTGAATCAAAATCACCAAAATATATTTTGAAAATGAAAAACTCATCTTTTTCTAAAGAAGAACAAGTTTATCGTCCAACAACTCATTCTAAGTTTGAAGTGAAAAAAACACCAAAGTTTTCGAAAGTGTTAAAACCTAACATTTTAAGGAAAAATTCAGATAATTCATTTAATTCTAATTCACCAAAGCATTTTTCTCAACGTCGACATTTTAAATCAACATTTGATACTTCCTATGCTGAATCATTTGTTTCAAAACAAAAAATTGATTTTGTTCCTCAAAAGCCAAATTTTCCTAATCATACGAAGAAACAAACATTGAAAGCTTCGCATGAAAAAGGGATAACTTCACGAAAGAATATTGATCACTAGCTCGAAGGAAGAGGAAAAATTTATCAATCAAGTAAATATTTAAAACACTACAAGAAAACAACCCTTTAATGACGCGCAAACAATGACACTCGCTGATAGACGACACGCATTTGTAAGTGCCCTAAAAGATAATGTCAGTTTTGCAAAATTTGAAGGATAGAGGGCACTTATTTGTGCGCACCCTAAAATTAGTGTCAGAAAAGAAAAAAAAATGCGGGGGGCGCCTTTCATAAAATGTGTGTCATGTAAATGTGTCGCTTTATAATTTTTAAGTGAAACACGCGTTCTAGGCGGGAAATGAAATCGACGAAAATTACCCCGCCTATTGAATCCCAAAAAATTAATCCCCCGCCTCTTCTACTTAGCAAGAAAAAGACCTAGGTCCCTCATCTTCATCTTCAGTATCATCAAACATCTCTCTCTCTTGGAATCAGATTCTTGAATGATCGAAACCCTAATTGTAGCCCTAACTACGACATGTCTTACCAACCGTTATCTTCAAATCGCATCATAAACGATGACCACCATGACAACCGTCGACTATACAACCCTTACCAAGGTCTTAGAGTCCTTGTACAAAATTCCCACATCTCCTGAATACCTCTTTCAAGGGGAATCCATCGCTCAACGCCGTTCATGGTGCAAAAACTTGACATACTACACCGGCATCGGTTACCTCAGCGGCGCAGTAGTTAGCGCTGGGAAGGGTTTAGTAGAGGATGTGAAGGATTATGAGGCTAGTGACACCATGAAACTTAAGGTTAATTGGAATGAAATTCGTGGTGGCTGGATTAGCGACTAGAGCGTATTGGCTGGATTAGTGACCGGAGCGCTTTACAAGGCGGCAATGGGCCCTAGGTCTGCGGCTGTTGCTGGAGTTATTGGTGGAATAGCGGTGGGATTAGCGTAACAGGGAAGCATATTTTGAAGAGATTCGTACCAATCTAAGCTCGATCTATATTCAATTTCATATTTTTCCGGAGCTATTGCTGGAATAATGGTGGCTGTGAATACTCCATCGTCAAATAGTTTGCGTAAAAACGACGTAATAGAAGAAGGGAGGAAGTGCTAGAATTTCCTAAAAATGAAACAGATTTGGGTGTTGTGGAGGAGCCACCGGTGGTGGCAAGTGAAGTTGAAGCATCTAAGCATAATAGTGAACTGAAAGTTGAGCCAGTGATGAAGGAGGCCGACGGTTGGACTTTAAATGTTAAAATTAAAGTGGGCCGAAAACCCGAACCGAACCGAGAACCGAACCGAACCGAACCGAATTAGACCCGAATAAGCAATTCGATTCGGTTTTCGGGTATCTATATAAGGCTTATTCGGTTTTCGGGTTATTCGGTCCGGGTTACCCGAATAAGGGGTTATTCGGTCCAAAAAACCGAACCGAATATGAAGAGTCTTTTTTCCCTTGCGGCCTTGCGTGAGTCGATTTAGTGTTTAATTTGTTTTTTTAAAAAGTTTGTTATGAAATCATAAGCTACAAAAATCATTAAAAATACAATATTTATTCGGGTTATTCGGGTTATATACTTATAGATAGATTTTTGGGTGTTTTGAATGTTTAATATTTAGTGTTTAATTTGTTTCTTTAAAAGATTTGTTATGAAATCATAAGCTACAAAAATAATGCAAAATATTCGGGTTATTCGACTACAAAATCATTTTGTACATGTTATTCGAGTTATATACTTATGAAATCATAAGTTTCAAAAGTAATACAAAATATTCGGGTTATTCGACTACAAGTGTTATTCGGGTTATTCGACTACAAAATATTCAGGTTATTCGGGTTATTTGGGTTATTCAACTCCTTAATCATCTTGCACATGTTATTTGGGTTATTCGGGCCGGAACCGAACCGAACCGAATAATACCCGAACCGAACCGAACCCGTATTGCTTATTTGGTTCGGTTTTCGGTTCATACAATTTGCTTTATTCGGTTTTCAATTTATTCGGTTCGATTCGGTTCGGTTCGGTTCCGACCTGAATAACATCCCTATGAAAAACCACCATTTGTGGTGGAACTTGATGGATCTCTTCCTTTCTACGTGGTCTATGCATATCAGGAGTTATTTTGGCTCTAATGTTGGCGATATCATTCTATTTGGGAAGGTATTTTAGCTAATTCAGTTACATCTCAGTTGACCCTGTTCATATGTATTATAACGCTTGAGTAATTATATAAGACTCGCTATTTTATCATTCTTACCAAGATAAAGATTGATCTTGATCTTTAATAACTTTCATTTGAATCAAGGTCAAAGTAGGAAGTACTTATCACAACTGTTGTGTGGTGGTGAAGTATATGCAAAGATGCATGTATGCTATCCCAAATGCCCTTGTACTTGAAGACTGTTATAATGACTCTTTTCACACCAAGCTTAATGTAATACACCTCTTGCCTTTGCTCCCCTTTTCTTCTTTAAATTTACCAACATCATATTGCTTATATTATTATTTACTATCTATTTATGCTTTTTATTTTATTTAATTAGGAGTTGGCATTTGAAAATGATTTCGTGAATAATTAGAATCAGATATTCATTTCTTGGATATTTGTAAGTTATAACCCCTAAACAGCTAAACCTATACAATAAAACTTTATTTGAAATAATCCGATAATCATTTCCAAATACCACATCTCGAGTTTATAAAAACTTTATTTGAAATAATATGATATTTATAAGTTATAACCCCTAAACAGCTAAACCTGTACAAACTAATTCTTTTCTTTCTTTGTTTGATTGCATGACTTGCAGATAAGATTCATGGGAAAATGGGAGAAGGTGAGTACAATTTATGAACAAATTACATCTAATTGTTTGTAATACATCATTATATATATTGACTAATCTAATTGATTCTTGTATCATTCAGGTACACAAAACATACTTCTCGTGTCTCCGGAGTATGTGAAAGTGCCTAATTACAAGGTATGATTACAAGTCATGTCAAACACTTTCTTACGTGTTTTATTTAATAGGATGGACACAATTCCCACTTTTAAAACTCCCAATATCGGCACCAACACAGAACCATAACCATTGTAGTTCTGCCTTGCCTCAATCCTAGCCTCTGGCATCTTTATAAATTGAAAAAATTACAATCCAATTTGTGATGGTGTGGAAGATTACAAAAATAGATAACAAATCTGGAAAACTAAAGACTTTACGTCTGTATCAGAAAGATTAGAGAGAACCATTAATTCCCGACTTTTTACATATTTGCCCCCATTGATTGTTTGGTTTGAATGATGTACATGAGAGAGCAGAAGAGAGCTGCCCTTTTGAAAGAAACTCAACAATGAAAGTACACTAAATTCAACCCTTTTTTAATATCTCGTGTATGTTTCTGTTTATCAGAATTCAACCCTTTTGAATGATGTTGTACTTGAGGAGCTTCAAGATGTTTTGAGATTTGAGAAGCATATGCAATACTCTCAATTTGCCATTGGCTCAAACATATGCGTAGGTTTCTTTCACCTCACCTCACCTCACCTCACCTCACTTTTTTGTCACTCCCAACCAAAGCTGTCAACCGAAAAAACACAAGAGAAAATTGGGACATCGTATATTTTAAGTGAGCTGCTTTCATAACAGACTACACAGTATATATCGCCTTGATCCTGAGATGTTCCATCGGGTCCTTCAATTGCCTCACTGACACCTATCAAAAGCCAAGCATCAGTACTTATCTTTCTTAGCCATGGCTTTGTTCCTCTATCATGAGACAGTGTATAGCAAGCTATTGCTTTCTTGGAGCTTTGAAATGTAGCCAAGCTATTGATACTCATGGTGCATGTTGAGGGGTCTGTAAGCATCAACAACAACAGATTTTTCACATTTACTTGAAGAGCATGCAAAACCTACCACAGCCAACGAGAAATTTCAATTTTGGTCCTTGTGTTCAGCAAAAACTTTCGGTTTTGGTCCAAATATGATTTTTTTGGTCTTTAGTTTCATGTTTCATAAGGAATTTGGTCCTAATTTTGTTAGATCTAACCACTCAGCTAATAATTTGGACCAAACCTGCTGAAAAAAATATGCCACAGGAACTAGAATCGTAATTTTCAATTTATTTTATCAATAAACTAATTTTGAAATCACAGCATATTTTATTTTTGACTATCTTAAAAAGCATAGTTCTTGAGTCATGAAAGCACCATCAAGAATTCGAGCACCACTAGAGGTCTATATAGCAATATTGCATAGACACAGGTTGGACTAATGAGATAGAAATTGCAATTTTTTGTCACTCCCAACCAAAAAGGTAGAACAAGTTGGGAAATTTTCTCTCTCTGTGAAAATGACATGAATGCCCTTCTCATTATCTCATGGAAAATAGACCTAAAGAGCTTGTCCAGTCCGATCCCTTGTAACAAATGCAGACTAGGTGTTTGTTGTCTTTCTCTCTGTGTGTGTTCTTGTAACAAGGATGTTTATATCTAAGAAAGCCTTGTTTTCTACTTTGTGGTATGTTGTGTTACTTTTGTGTGCATTATTAGGTCAATGAAATACAAACTTATATAATATAGCTTTACCAGATTAAGGGGTTGTTTCTATTTCTTTTGACTGACCGAACTTAATCTAGACACATGGCTGTTCTTTATTTGACTTAATCTATACAACATGACATAACAGATTAAACCAAAAAACATGGTTTAATCTATTCTGATACACACTCTTTACCTATTTGTTTTTCTACTTTTTTCCTCACGTTAAAATTGATGAATATTATTTGTTAGATTGCAAGGGTAAAATGGTGATTGAAATGTTGTATAGCATATCTCATTATATGAGTGGTGATTCCTAATCTTGGTTGCAAATGACGTTCATAGTTGCATTCTGTCAGTCGGTTAGTAGGAAGATGAATACAGGCTGCAATATTGTTTTCGATTGAAATTTCAAAGTAGGATATCTCAGTCTCAGTCTTAGTCTTTGATGAGAGCCACACCATGGAGATGGATGGAGAAAGATATAGAGGTATGTGTGTACATAGTTTTCCTCCCATCTCTCGTTTCCTATGTTAAAATATTTTGCTTATTTCTCTCATATTTTTGGAACCCATTGTATTAACTAATGCCCCTTTAGTAGTAGTAGTAGTAATAGTAGTAGGGGTATAGTGGTCATTGTTGTTGGCCAAACCAAACCAAATCAAAGACGATGCCTGATGTGGCGTGGGGGAATTATGTAAATACTGCTAGTCGTTTTAGTGTGTAAATGCATGCAGATCAAGGTTGTGTTACATTACATGATATCTTTGTTGTTGTAACCTGTTTACAATGAAATAGTAACAGTTAGGAGAGGGTTTTTATTTTTATTTTTGTAAATTTGATCATCAACAAGAACAAAACTGTCTTGTAAGTGTTATTTCATCAAATTGCAGAAAATAGCCATGTGCTTGAAATATGGAGCTTGAAACTTAAAAAAGCTTACAAGTTTTGATTGGTGGATTGATTCTTTTTTAGGCTTATTCTGCATGAAGTGATTATCAGGATATATCATACTTGATAAGGTTTGTTCAAAGTGTTATAGGATTAAAGTACACTAAAAAATGTCAATGGCTAACTTTTTGGGATTTCTCAGTTAAAATTATGCAGAAGCATTTCTTATGTTGCAGTTGCTGCTCATGCAGATCAGACTAGCAGGAGGAAATTAGCACTTTTCTAGGTTCCTTTGTTACTAGGCATTGGGGAAGAAGTTACAGCCCTGAATAAGGCAACTAAAAGTGGCGATACTGATCTTGTTTATCTTGTTCTCTTTTATATATGACAGAAGGTATTTATTGTTTTCTTATTTGATTAATTATAAAATAATGGTAAAATTAAGTTCTCAAATTATTGGCTTGTATAAAGACCAGCATTGGAATTATTTGGAATGATACAAGCTAGACCTATTGCACGCGTCTTATTCATACGAGACTCAAGATATCATATTTTGGCACGGCTAGAAGCTTTGGAGGAAACGAGACTCAAGCAAAAGTAAACACACAGAGAGTTGTTGGCGCATAGTAAGCTAGATGATGCAATTGTATATAAATGAGTTCATTTTTTTTATAACATTTACTCACTTTTGGAATAATTATTTGTATTTGACATATTAGTGAAATGAATTATCTTTGTTATTTATGGTATTTTATTTTGTATTATGAGATTTTTAATGTATTATTTAATTTCAAAATTAGTAAATCTATAAATATATATTTTTTTAAACATTTAAAATTATGATACGCAAAAATGTGTATTATCCTCATATATGACATGGCCTTTCTTGGTAGGGGTTTTCTTGATACGCATTGCGTGTCAATAACACGCGCATCGTAAGGTTAAGACACGTGCATGCATGTTGTCTTCCTTTATGACAAGGCCTTCTTTGATACGCATTGCGTGTTGTAAACGCGCGTCGTAATTACGCGTCGTAAATGAGCGTCCTCTATATATGACGCGCAAAAACGCATCGTCTCTCTTTAAGACAGGGCCTTCCTTGACACACATTTGCGCGTCGTCTGAGCCTCTTACGACGCGCAATGAGCGTCGTAAAAGGCTGTTTTTCTAGTAGTGAAAGATCAAATTAACGATGCTTATGAGATGTATGTAAATACTTCTTCAAATGGCAGTTCATCATCAAAGGATTCGAATATCTTAGTAAAAGCATGGAAACCTGTCACAAAAACGAAGACCGAACAATCACAAACTCAGAATGCGAAGGGTGATGTTAGTATACATACAAAACAAATAAAACATTATGTTTCAATCCCTACAAATGAAGATGTGGAGATTATTAATAGTCTCAAAACTAAAGTTTGTGATTTAGTCAACAGTTATTTTTTCAAATCTTTGTTGAAATCTAATTTCCAAGGACCCAAAAAGCCTTCGGTATCTAAATTATTTCATTGATTGCAGGTACTTTGTGACGAGTAATATAATAATAAATGGTACATTGATAGTGGTCGCTCTTGTCACATGACTGGGAAGAAGGAGAATCTTAGAGACTTTCGAACCTTAAAAAATGTTGGAGTGGTTAAGTATGGAAATAATCAAAAGTGTCAAGTCAAAGGATATGGTAAAATCACGAATGGACAATTTACAGTGAATCGAGTTGCTTATGTCGAAGGTTTACAACACAACTTTATAAGTATAACACTCCTTGTGGTAGGCACTGGAAATCAAGTACTTTTTAACAAAGAAGGAAGCATTATTTCGAACGTTTACACAAAAGAAGTTAAGCTGAAATCCAAACGGAAGGGTGACATGTTTACTTTGGACATCAAACCAATTAATGGTAAACTTGCTGTATGTCTTCTTTCGAAAACAGCATCACATATGAGGTTTACCTATACTTAAACAAACTTGTTGTGCAAGATTTGGTAAGAGGTTTACCTATACTTAAATTTGATAATGATTCTTTATGTGCAGCTTGTGAAGTTGGCAAGCAATGTAAATAAGCTCATCTGATCACAATTGATTCAAAGATTGTTAAACCACTGGAGCTTTTACATATTGATTTATGTGGTCCTTCGACAGTTTCAACACTCAACAACAAATGGTATATCTTAGTTATTGTTGATGATTTTTCCAGATTCACATGGGTTTATTTTCTCATATTAAAATCCGAAGTGGCAAAAAACATGATCAAATTTATCAAGAAAATGGAAATAACCTTGAAAAAGCTTGGTCACAAAATCAAGTGTGATCATGGAACTGAGTTTATGAACAATGTTCTTGATTCATTTTAGTGGAAAAAGGCATTACACATAATTTCACTTCTCCATACACTCCACAGCAGAATAGTGTTGTTGAATGAAAAAATCGATCTTTATGCGAAGCTACAAGGACTAAGTTGGTATATGCAAACTTACCACAATATCTTTGGGTTGAGGCTGTATCCATTGCGTGTTTTACTTAGAACAAATATTTCATTCATTGGCGTTTTAATATTAC